GCAATTATTAAACACAGAAGGAATAATGGAAATCCTGAATAACCTTGAAACAAACACTAACATAATCTTTATGGAAGGTAAGAGGCATGGAGGGATAAAATCAGTGGGTAAAAGTATAAGAAACATTGCATTTGCATAATCTCAAAGTATATCCCCACAAGATACATACAAAATTGAAAGGAAAAAATAGTAATTTTACAGTAGAAAACTTTGGTACACTTTAACCAAGAGATAAAAGTTAACATCATATGTATTAAGACATAATGACGGGATCCCTGGGTGGTGCAGTGGTTTGGCGCCTGCCTTTGGCCCAGGGCGCGATCCTGGAGACCCAGGATCGAATCCCACATCGGGCTCCCGGTGCATGGAGCCTGCTTCTCCCTCTGCCTATGTCTCTGCGCCTCTCTCTCTCTCTATCATAAATAAATAAAAATTAAAAAAAAAAAGACATAATGACAACACGTACATATGATACACAGAGAATGGTACAGCATTACTTCTGTAGCATTATTGCCAGGACAGCATAACATGAATTAAATCATGAAAAATGGCAACAAGGGGTGCCTGGGTGGCTTAAGTCAGTTAAGCTTCTGACTCTTGATCTCAGCTCAGGTCTTGATCTCAGGGTCAGGAGTTCAAGCCCCACAGTGGGCTCCACACTGGGAATGGAGCCTACTTAAAAAAAAGAATGCCAACAAGAGGACAGTTCTTAAAACTATCAATTATTAAACAACTATTATTAAAATGTGGGGGGAAAATGCTGAAACAAGCAATCACAAAATTTCTGGCAACAAATATTTAAAGTGAAAATCTTGCTGATAAATAGATCAAAAAAGTTAAATTTTAAAATTTCTTTTAAGATTTTATTTATTTGAGAGAGCTCGAGAGGAAGAGGACAAGCAGGATGAGGGGCAGAGGGAGAAGCAGATTCCCCACTGAGCAGGGAGCCCAATGCAGGACTCGATCCAGGAATCAGGATCATGACTTGAGCCGAGGCAGATTAACCAACCAACCGAGCCACCCAGGCACCCTCCCCGCTCAAAAAGTGAAAATTTTAAAGTTAAAAATACAGTAACTAAAATTAAAAAATAAATGGACAGACTCAACAGCACAATGGAGATGGCAAAAGAACTTAAAGAGATAAATAAAAACTATCAAATAGAGAAAATATTGAGCATAAATGTACAAAGGCTCAGGGAACTATAATAACAGAAGGAAAAGAGAAAGAGAGTAGGACTGAAGATATCTGAGAAAATAAATGCCTGAAAACTTCCTAAAATCTGCAATAGACATACCTACATATTCAAGAAACCAAGAAAACTTCAAAAGGGATAAACAGGGGATCCCTGGGTGGCGCAGCGGTTTGGCGTCTGCCTTTGGCCCAGGGCGCGATCCTGGAGACCCGGGATCGAATCCCACATCGGGCTCCCAGTGCATGGAGCCTGCTTCTCCCTCTGCCTATGTCTCTGCCTCTCTCTCTCTCTGTGACTATCATAAAATAAAAAATAAATAAAAATTTAAAAAAAATAATTTAAAAAAAAAAAAGGGATAAACAAAGAAATCCATAGTCAGGTATATCATAATGAAACTGCCAAAAAGTGAAGCCAAAGCAAATATTATATAAGCAGTAAGAGAAACATAAAATACTACCACATAGAGAAATAATAATTCAAATAACTGATTTCCCAGCAGAAATTATAAAAGCCAGAACAAAGTAACACATATTTAAATGGCTGAAAAAAGGAAATATCAGCCTAAAATAATCTGCCGAGAAAAATTACTAGCAGGAATGAAAATATAATAAAGACATTCTCAGATGATAGAAAACTAAGAATATATAGCCTCTGAGGGCTTCTCTATAAGAACTGCTAAAAGAAGTGCTTCGTGTAGAAGGGAAATACCAGAAGGAAACCCGAATCATCAAGAATAAAGAGTAACAGAAATATTTATCTGGATAATCCAACAGATTATTTATCTTTCTTGAATTCTTTAAAATTATTTTAAGGATGAAAACAAAAGATATGAACATCTTCTGATAGTTTTCAATGTATGCCAATGCAATACATGACATTACAGCATAAAAGACATCAAGTTAAAGGACCTAAATGATGTTAATGTTTCTACATTCCAAATTATAGGGTCAAAGAGACAGTCAAAACTTAAATATGTATTGTGTAACCCCTAAAGCAAATACTTTAAAAAGCTATATAAAAAGATCCAGTTAAAAATAATAAAATAAATGGAAAACTAAAAGGTATTCAAATAACCCAAAAGAATGCAAAAGGGGAGGGAGGGGAGAACAAAAAAGAAACAGAAAACAGTAAGTAGTAAACCTAAATCCAAATATATCAAAATTTACATTAAATACAAATTTTCAGGGTGCCTAGGTAGCTCAGTCAGTTTTAAGTGTCTGTCTTCAGCTCAGGTCATCATCCTCCAGTCCTGGGATAGAGCCCCACATCAGGCTCCCTGCTCGCCAAGGAGTCTGCTCTTCTCTCTGTAGCATTCCAGCTGTTCTCTCTTCAAATCTCAGGCCAAATTTGTAGGTTTTCAGGATGATTTGAAAGTTATCTAGGTAAGTTGGTGGGGACAGGTGACTTGAGGACCCTACTCTTCCAACATCTTGCCCCGATCCCACAAGGAGTCTGCTTCTCCCTCTCCCTCTACTGCTACCCCTGCTTGTGCTCTCTTGCAGTGTCAAATAAATTAAAATATATATATATATATATATATAGATAGATAGATAGATAGATAGATAGTCAGTCAGTCTAAGGGCACCTTGTGGCTCAGTGGTTGAGCATCTGCCTTTGGCTAGGTAGTGATCCCAAGGTCTTGGAATTGAGTCCCACATCGGGTTCCCTGAAGGAAGCCTGCTTCTCCCTCTGCCTCTCTCTCTCTGTGTCTCTCATGAATAAATAAATAACACAATTTTTTAAAAATATATATAGGGATCCCTGGGTGGCGCAGCGGTTTAGCGCCTGCCTTTGGCCCAGGGCGCGATCCTGGAGACCCGGGATCGAATCCCACGTCAGGCTCCCGGTGCATGGAGCCTGCTTCTCCCTCTGCCTGTGTCTCTGCCTCTGTCTCTCTCTCTCTATCATAAATAAATAAAAAAAATTAAAAAAAATAAAAAAATAAAAAAATAATAAAAAATAAAAATATATATGTGTGTGTATATATACAAAGCCCAACCACTAAAACTCAAACACAAAAATTGTCAGAATGACCAAAAAAACAGAATAAGAAAAAATCAGGATGCCTCGGTAGCTCAGCGGTTGAGCGTCTGCCTTTGGCTCAGGGCATGATCCCAGTTTGGGAATCGAATCCCACGTCAGCTCCCTGTGAGGAACCTGCTTCTCCCTCTGCCTATGTCTCTGCCTCTCTCTGTCTCTCACGAATAAATAAGTAAATCTTTAAAAGAAGAAAAAAGGAAAAGAAAAAAAGTCATTTAAAGAAATCTTATCAGGGACACCTGGGTGGCTCAGTGGTTGGGCACCTGCCTTCAGCCCAGGGCATGATCCTAGAGTCCTGGAATCGAGTCCTGCATCAGGCTCCCTGCATGGAGCCTGCTTCTCTCTCTGCCTGTGTCTCTGCCTTTCTCTGTGTGTGTTTCTCACAAATAAATAAAATATTTAAAAAAAATAAAAAATAAAGAAATCTTATCAGGCCACTGCCTAACAACTAAGATAATGGAATGGAGACTTTAATGACTACCTATGACAAGGTATATAGTCTGCAAAAATAGTTTAGAAAAGTAATTAAACAAGCAGATGACTGCACCCCACAATAATCAACAACACAAACCCTAGGGAGAGAGGAAATACTGATTTCCAGAGCCACCATACTACCAAATTCAAAGTGCCTACTTTTCAAGAAAATTTTTCATTAAAAAATTATTAGGCATCTAAACAAACAATTAAGTATGGCCCATTCACAGAAAGAAAAAAGTTAGCAGAAAGGGTCCCTAAGCCCAGACATTAAACTTTGTAGAAAAATCAACTATCATAAATATGCCAAAGAGCTAACAGAAACCATGGACAAAAACCAAGAGAACAGCATATCAATAAACAGAAAATAACAATAAATGATAGAAATTACAAAAAGAAACATATACAAATTCTAAACTGAAAAGCACAATAAACGAAATGAAAAATTTTAGAGGGGTTCAACATAAAATTTCAATAGGCTGAAGAAAAAATAAAGGACCATGAAGATAGGTAAATTAAGATTATTCAGTCTGAGGAATGGAAAAGGAAAAAAAAGGAAGAAAATGAAAAGAACCTAAGAGACAACATTAAGTGTACCAACACATGCAAAATGAGGCTAGAACAAAATGATTCATGAAGAATATCTGAATAGTAGCCAATCTACATATCTTAAAATTCAATGAACCCCAAAGAGAATAAACTCAAAGACGTGCACAATGAGATGTAGTATAATCAAACTGTTGAAATCCTCCCCCTAAAAATGCTAAGAGCAAGGAAAGAGAAGCAACCCATTATCAGAAATCATAGAGGCCAGAAGGCAGTGCAATGACATATTTAAACTGCTGAAAGAAAAAAGCTGCCAACCAATAAATCTACATCTGATAAAAATATCTTTCAAAACTAAAGGAAAAAGATCAGCTTATGGTATGACAGCATGAAGAACCCAGGTGACCTGCTGCTCCCCACTGAAAGTGATGAAAACTATTTTTCTTTAAAAGCCATTTAAAGCCTCTGGAAACTGATCTAAGGACAAACAGCAAATGAAACATATAGTCAAGAACAACTTCAAAAATCCACTAACAGGGCAGCCCGGGTGGCTCAGCGGTTTAGCGCCGCCTTCAGCCCAGGGTGTGATCCTGGAGACCCGGGATCAAGTCCCATGTCAGGCTCCCTGCATGGAGCCTGCTTCTTCTTCTGCCTGTATCTGTGCCTCTCTCTGTGTGTGTCTCTCATGAATAAATAAATAAAACCTTAAAAAAAAAAAAAATCCACTAACAAAGATGAGTCTGTATTTGAACCAAGACCACTCCCCTTCCCTCCCTCTCTCATCTTGAGCTCAAGGAAAGGGAATCTCTACTCCAGATTCCTGCAACCAAGAACACAGGGCTCCCTTTCCACCCCTCCCACCAGGACCCAATTCAGAGGGCTTTCCTCCCAGGAGGAACAGTTTCTTATCCAGCCCCCAGCTGCCTGTTAACAGGGTTGAGAGTCCTGGGCAAGTGTGGTTGAAAGGTAGGAGTTCCAGCCCTTTCAGCCCCACTGGTAGAATGTATAATTTATTGGGTGTGGTGCATGGAAAACACTGGGGCCCTGACCATCCTTGTCCTGGGTTGTGAAGAGAGAAAAGCAAACTCTGATGACATCTGGCTGCACTTGCCCCTCCACAACTTACTGTCACTCAGAAAGAAATTTGCCTTGTTCCTACCTCATCACCAGAGACCAGGCTTCTGTTTGAGCAAAGAAGTAGACATTAAAACAGATAGCTCTTAATTTCTTCCCAAAAGGACTGACTTCATTTGCAAGAGCATGGAGAAAGTCCCAAGTCTAAAGGAGACCTAAAAAACAGTGAGGTTGTAATAAAAGCCAGTTAGCAGATTCAAAATATAGAGGCTGAACTGTAGGTAAGCTAATTTGCAAGAAAAGAACTGCAGACTAAAACAAGTGGGAGGAGCCCTCCTGGGGTCAGAACAAATATCAAACACTAACCTCAAAAACTATTTCTTCAAAGGACCCACATTTTGATTGGATTAACATTCAAAGTAGTTTATGCCCCAGGGCGTTGTGGAAAACAATTAGTTCCCAGTAAGGGGATCTTGGCTGCTGGGTGTGGACAGGAAAAGACAACCTTAACAAAACCAGTCATCCCAGGGTAACTGTGGGCATATTCAAATTGCCCCTCCCTGAGGAGCAACTTCTGAGGATTAACCTTGTGGGAAAAAAAAGACTACAATGAGATACGACTTCACATCCACTAGGATGGCTAAAATTGGATGAAGTCAGATAATGACAAGAGTTGGTGAGAATGTAGACGTTAGAGCCCTCATACACTGTTGCTGTGATTGTAAAATGGCGCAGCCACTTTGGAAGAATCAGGCAGTTTCTCAGGCAATTAAACATTGCTACCATATGACCCAGCAAAAACACTCTTTAAGTATACACCTAGAGAACTTTTCTTGTTTAGAAAGAGTCCTAGCAAAAAAAAAAAAAAAGTATACACCTAGAGAAATGATAACATGTCTACAAAGAAATTTATACATAAATGTTTTAGCAGAATTATTAATAGCCTAAAGGCGTAAACAACCTAAATGTCCATCAATGAATGAATGCATAAACAAAATGCGGTAAATCATAATTTGAAACATTATTCAGTCATAAATAGAATGAAGTACTGATACACGCAATAACATGAACTTTGAAGCATTATGCTAAGTGAAAGAAGTCAATCACAATAGACCACGTATTATATGATTCCATTCATACAGGATGTTCAAAACTGAGATATCTATAGAGAATAAAGGTAGATTAGGGGTTGCCTAGGGCTGGGCAGATAGGGTTCAAGGGGATATGCAGTTATGGCTAAAGGGCATGGACTTCTTGGGGTGATGAAAATACTCTAAAATGACTGTAGTGATGGCTATACATAAGATTAAAAACCACTGAACTGTACACTTTAAGTGGGTAATTGTATGGCGTGTGAATTATATTTTATCTATCAAAACAGACAGGAAAAATTAAGACATTTCCAGATAAAGAAAATCTGAGGGAATTTCTTCCTAATAGGCCTACCCTACAAGAACTGCCAAAGGGACTTCTTCAGGCTAAAATGGAAGGATAATAGAAAGTAACTCAAAAGCGTAGGAAGAAATAAAGAACATGGGTAAAGATAACTACATAGATAAATATAAAAGCCAGTACTATTGTGTTTTTGGTTTGCAACTCCTCATTTTTTTTCTATGACTTAAAAAGAAACGAACAAGCTGATCCTACAACTCATATGGAACTGCAAGGGGCCCTGAAAAGCCAAAATAATCTTGAAAAAGAACAACAAAGTTAAAAGAGTGGCACTTTGCAATTTTAAAACTTACTACAATCAACAGTAATCAAAATAGTGTGGTATTAGTATAATGACAGATACAGAGACAAATGGAATAATTTTGAATGACCTGAAATAAACCTATATACATCTATGGCTAACTGATTTCTTTTTTTTTTTTTAATAAATTAATTTTTATTGGTGTTCAATTTACCAACATGGCTAACTGATTTCAACAAGAGTGCCAAGACCATTCAATAGGGAGTGGACAAGTCTCTTCGACATATGGTGCTGGGACAACTGGCTATGTGCATATAAAAAAATTAAGCTGGACCTCACATAATATATAAAAATTAACTCAAAATAAATCAATGGCATATATATAAGAGCTAAAACCATGAAGGATTTAGAAGAATACATAGAGATAAATCTTCATGACTTTGAATTTGACAAAAAATTCTTAGATTTGACACTGAAAACACAAGCAACGAAAGAAAAAAATAGACAAACTGGGCTTCAAATTTTTTAAAAATTGTACACCAAACCAAAGGACATCCTAAAGTATGAAAAATACCTACAGAATGGGAAAAAATTTTCCAAACCATATATAACAGTTGAGAATATATAAATAATTCTTACAACTCACCAACAAAAATACCCAAATTAAAAAATGGGCAAAGGACCGGAATAGACATTTCTGCAAAACAAATGATCAACAAGCACAAGAAAACATGCCCCAAGTCAGTCTTTAAGAAAACGCAAAACTAATCAATGACATACCACTTCAAACTTATTAAAATGGTTCTAATTTTCTTAAAACAAAACAAAAACAAGGAATAACAAGTGTTGGCAAGAAGCATGGTAATTCCATGTGTAACCTATAAAGAAATCCCCATGCTATTTTCCACAGTGGCTGCACCATTTTAAATCCCAAAAGCAATGTACCAGGGTTCCAATTTCTCTACTTCCTTTCCAACATTTCCTGTGTTGTTGTTTTTTTAATTAGATTCTGCCTTCAACTTAGGAGAAACTTCAAATGTCCCCTGTTACTGTAATCCAGATAACAGGCACTTAAAAATTAAAAATTCATCTTTATTGACACTTCTTTTTAAAATTTATCTTCAAAATTTATTTAAAAATTACCCATCCTAGTAGTTCCACACGTCACAAAAGTTTAAGAAATGCATGGGAAATAAAATCACTGTTTAAAATAATGTTTACCTCTAGGGATGAAGGAAGAAAAGAGAGACATTCAGGAATGGGTACAGGTACACAAAGAACTTCAACTATTATAGCAATGTATTATTTTTATGTTTGGATGGTGAATACAGAGGTTCACTGTATTTTTTTTTTTTGTATCTCTCATTAAGTTAGTTATGTTTGTATATCTTAAGTACTTAATAACATATGTAGAAAGCCCCCCAAAAAAGACAAAGGAAAATAGTTAATCTTATACTCCCTCATCACCTCTTCCACCAAAGACACAAGATCATACTAGGCATCTGCAACTTACTTTTCTCACGTAACTATTGTAATAGCATTCTCTAGATCAAAAGTGTGTAAAGAGGTAAATCTGTTTCTAGAGCTGCAAAGTATTGCATAGACACAAACGTCCCACAATTTATTCAAACATTTTATAGATGGTTATGCAGGTTGTTTCCAGTTACACGTCATAAAAACAAAGTTGCAAATTTTTTACTGTCTTCCCCCAAAAATATCATGCTTAATATAAATTTATTTTCACCAAGAGATTTGAACACGGAAAATCTAGCTCTTTTCCTACTGAATAATCAAGGTAAGACACAAAATAATATAACAATTCCCTCAGAGATTACCTGTACGCACGCACACACCTACCTCTGAACAGAACAATGCACTTTCAAAACAAATGATAAGTATTATATTGCCCAGAAGTCCTCATCTGAAACATAAAGGACATTAAAAAAATTTTTTTTAAATCTAGCCTACAATGAGCATGTTAAAATTGATCAGTTTATCAAAACTACAACGTTTGCTAGCGAAATACAGCATGAAGAAAATAAGGGAAAGTAGGTCCAACAGTCCAACAGGTTAGGCTGCTCCTGAAAGCGCTGTGGGGAGAAAAAAAAAATCTCTCATTTTGGGCCCGCATGGTGTCAATAAAAACCCATTTAAACAAGGAAAAATGAAAGGGAAACGGCTCAGAATCTCTCCTACGAGCTACTATCCGCTTCATCAGTGGTGGTAAGGTGACTAAATAAAGAAATTACTTTCCGATATTTTAAAAAAGGTGAGAGACAGAAAAATGAAAAACAGGCCGGCTTCTCCTCCCTCCCCAGGCCGGCCACGCGATTCTGAAGTGTGTAGCCTTACTACTGGACATTTCTCTGGCGGATGTGAAGCTTAGCACTCACCACAAAACAAAAGTTGGCGAGTTTCTGTACTTTCCTCAGATTTGTTCATTGGCTGCTTTCCAAACCTAGTAAGCCGGCAGTACTCACCCTCTCAGTACGAAAGCCGCCATTTTAGGTTTTAGATGAGCTCTAGGGGAAAAAGTGATAAAAGCCTGGAGCGGGCGTTACAGCAAAATAAGTCCCGCGCCCAACCGCCGTGCACTGCTGAAATGGCTCCGCCGGCAACGTGACCCAGCCTGCCTGCGGCCCCTACCCCAGTTTTCCAGAGCCGATGCGCTTCCTTTTAGGCACAACCTTTATCCTCATTGAAATTGCCTCATTCTTGCTTCTTTCCTTTCTTTTCCTTTTAGTTTTTCATCCCAAATTTGTTTTACCTTTGCCACTACTCCTTTCTTCTTTCTACATTCTAGATATCTCTGGTTCTCCTCGACTTTCAGTTACCTCATACATGTACAGCATTTTATAATAGACAAAACTGTCTTTCTGTTATTTTACCAAATTATTATAATACTATAAGGTAAGCTGGGAACTGAGTTTCCCAATTTTATAAATGAAGAAACTAAGCCCAGAAAAGTAGACCAATTTTCCAAAAGCTGCAACAGCTAGTACATGTTAGAGTGCACAGAACCTAATTCTTTTTGCTTCAGTGAGCCCCGTTCTGCTAGAGATCTAGGTCTACTTCATCCGACTAATTGAAAAGATAGGAAAAATAGGAAGAGTGTGGGCCTAAATTCATATAGTAAGTCAGTGACAAAACTGGATTCAAAACAAGTTGCTTCCTTGTTTAATTCTGTGACAGAAAGCATCTTCATAAAGGGGTTGAGATGCTGTTCTCCGGCCCAAAATTCTTTCCTCTTTTGACTGAGCTCAGCCCTGACACTTTTAAGAAACCTCTAAAAAACGTTTATTTTATTCTGTCCCGCTCCATGAAGGAAAATACACTAAACATGTTTTAAAAACGAGGCTGAAACTTCTTTGTGAAGCATTGTTCATTAATGATGTGAAAGAGTAGTGGGGGAGGGTTTGTGCTGTGTAAGTATGGAAAAGACAAGTTAGCGGTCCTGATCCCTTTCCAAAGGTATAGTTTTTCTCTCTCTATTCAAATGTTATCTCTAGATTTGTACAAGAACCCAGCATAGAATACTGAATACCTCGTATTTTATTTATTTTCATCATTACTCTTTCTTTTTTTATTTTGATAATAGTCACTCTCAAATAGAAGTTAATCGTAGATAATTGTGTAAACTTCTGGGCCTTGATTTATGGCCATTCTTGTGTAAAATACTGCATGGTGCCATTCAGTATTGTCAGTAATCCGTGTAGTGAGATGAAGAGGTCTTAGCTTAAGTTTGAGGTGTGTAATTACCTGGAGTTTAGACAAGTTTGAGCGCATCTTGGAAACTGGTAGGGCCGGCCACTAGAAGACAATTGCAGAGAAAACTCCTGATCTCTTGAGAAATAACTTATCCTAAGAGAAGAAGGAGTCAAACAATTTAGAATAAATGGAAAATCAATTCTGAGTATTGCAGGGGATTTGGTTGTACTACAAAGTGTATTTATTTTGAACTAGGTATACAACATCTCTCTGCGGCAATTTAAGGGTAGGCAGAAAAGTGGAGAACATTAAGTGAAACCTATTTCAGTTTTGCTCTGATGACTGTCATAACTTTTTCTGTCTAGAACAAATGACCATTTGGATTTAAAGGAAATACATGTAAATAAATAAACAGCAGGAAGCATTAATAGAACAATAAGCTTATGAAATTGTTAGTTAATTTTAGGGGGGAACCCTGATGCATTGTTTTATTTAGTGGTGTTTCAAATGAAAAGGTGCTGTAACAGGGGACCTATGGGGAGAAAAGCTCTGTTAATTCACAGCAAAGGTAGAAATGTCATACCCCTACCTCTACCCACTCATATTTCTCCTAGTCTACCTGCCTTGATGCCAAGAAAAATGCCTCCAGAAAACACCAGAGACAGAATTTTCTGGCCAGGCTACAATATTTGCTCTTCAAGGCTGATCCTGTTGTCCTCCTGGACTCCTGGTCCAATTAGTACCTGCTCCATTCTCTCTAAGATCCCAGTTTTCCTCTTTCATTGCAATTGTTTCAGAGGTAAGAAAAATGACTCCTCCAAGTATATAAAATCCAAATAGGGAAAAGAAGAGTTGGGATTTCACCATCATCTGGCCATATTTAACAGACTCTCAGTTGGAGAATTTACAAAGATAATTTCACAGGCAATGATCTCTGGGACAATAGTTTCTCTTACTTTTGCATTTATTTTTTAACACAAGCAAATGAGTAATGAACCTGTATATGACAGTCCAAATGATAGATGCATGCATAGTTAGACTGGAATACATTGATTTGAGACATGAATTGAGAAAAGGTACAAGTGATATGGTAAACAGGAGACCAGATATAACAGAATTTATTCATTCATTATGAACTTGCATGTAGGGGTGCCTGGGTGGTTCAGTCCATTAAGCATCTAACTCTTGGGTTTCAGCTCAGGTCATAATCTCGGGGTCGTGAGATTGAGCCCCAAGTCGGTTCCACACTCAATATGGAGTCTGCTTGAGACTCTTTCCCTCTCCCTCCCCCTGCACCCCTCTCCCCAGCTCACATGAGTGCACTTGTGCACTCTCTCGAATAAAAAGAATAAATCTTAAAATAAAAAAGAACTTGCATGTAAAGAATAGGGCTACACAAGAGGGTGGTAGAGAATACAAATATGAATGAAACCCAGTATTGGTCCTCAAGATTAGGCTTAAGCTGGGGAGGGGAAAATAAAAGGAGTTTTAGAAGAATTACAAGGAGTATCTTTATATGAGACACTGTACTAGGATTAAGATGGGAGTAAAAGTAAGGTTTGATGTAAAAAGATGGGGATGAATTTACCATGATTCTTAGCCTCAGGGAAATTACAGATCAGTGGAGAAAAATAAAACATGAAGCTAGATAATGTTTTTTATTAGAGGACTCAAGAAGATGAAAAAGTATTTAATACATATAGTACATACATTTCACACCTAAAATGATTTCTAAGATGATACATGTTGCAAGGCACTGTACTAAGTGATGTAGGGTATGGGAAGAACAACAACAAGAAGACATCTATAAATGTGCTTTGAACCGTTGAGGGCATTTATACAGAATGAAGATGTATCATGAGACTTGTAAAATCACACAACTTCCTCTGTGTAAAGTTGACCTGCCCTGAAGATCTTTCTTTTGTTGAAACGTAATTCACATACTATAAAATTCATCATTTCAAAGAGTATGATTCAGTAGTTGTTAGTACACTCACAGATTTGTGTAACCACCACCACTATCTAATTTCAGAACATTTTCATTACCCCAAAAGGAAACCCCATACACCCATAATCACTCATCCCCTCTCCTTCCTCCCACAAACAAGTCCCTGGCATTGGGATGCCTGGGGTGGCTCAACGGTTGAGCCTTTGGCTCAGGGCATGATCCTGGGGTCGGGATCCAGTCCCACGGGAGCCTGCTTCTCTCTCTCTCTCTCTCTCTCTCTCTCTCTCTCTCTCTCTCGAATAAATAAATAAAAGCTTTTTAAAAGAAAAACATGTCCGTGGCAAATTCTAATTTATTTTCTGTCTTTATGTATTTTAGATCCCTTCTGAAAATTTCCTGTAAATTAAATAATACAGCAGGTTGTCTTTTGTGACTGGCTTTTTTTGCTTAGCATAATATTTTCAGGGCTTATGCATGATATAGCATATTTAGTACTTTATCTTTTTTCCATTCCTTTTATGATTAAATAATATCTCATTGTATGGAAATACAACATATTGTTTTCCAATATGCATGTTTGAATTATTTCCGCTTACTACTTCTTATGAATAATGCTGCTATGAACATTTGTGTACAAGTTTTTGTGTGGATACATTTTCAATTCCCTTGGGCATATAACTGGGTATAGAATTGCTGGATAATATGGTAGCCCTATGTTGAACCCTTTGAAGAATTGCAAACTGTTTTCCAAGGCACTGTGCGATTTTAACATCACCACCAGCAAGTATCAGAGTGCCAATCTCTCCACATCTTCACTAACATTTGTCATTTTAATTATAGTTAGCTTAGTAGGTGTGAAGTAGTATCTCATTGTGGTTTTGATTTACATTTCCCTGATGGATAACAAAGTAGAGCATCTTTGTATGTACTTATTGGCCATTTGCACATCTTCTTTGGAGAAATGTCTATTCATATCCTTTGCTCATTTTCCAATTGGATTATTGGTCCTTTACTGTTGAGTTGAAATATATATATATATACCTGGATATGTGTTCATTATCAGATATGTGGTTTGCAAATATTTTCTCTTTTTCTATGGATTTTTTCAATTTATTGATGTGTCATCTAAAGCACAAAAGATTTTAATTTTGATTAAGTATAATTTATCAGTTTTTCCTTTCATTCCTTGGACTTTTGATATCATATCTAAGGAACTAGTCTATAACTTAAGGGCATGAAGATGTACACCTAAGTTTTCTTCTAAGATTTTTATAGTTTTATCATTTACACTTAGATTGTTAATCTAATTTGAAATATTTTTTGTATATTGTGAAAAAAAGGTATCTAACTTCTTTCTTTCGTATGTATATATTCAGTAGTTACAGCACCATATGTTTAAAAAACCAGTCTTTCTTTGTAGGTAATTGATCATAAAATGTGAAGGTTTATTTCTTTTATTTTTTCTTTAAAGGTTTATTTCTGAACTCTCAATTCTATTTCATTTATTTATATTTCTAACCTATGACTCTAACACAAATCTTGATTACTGTAGCTTTGAAGTGAGTTTTAGAATTAAGAGGTATGAGTGCTAAAACTTTATTCCTTTTTTCTGGATTGTTTTCAGTATTCTGGTCCTGGGACTCCTGGATGGCTCAGCGGTTGAGTGTCTGCCTTTGGCTCAGGGCATAATCCCGGAGTCTTGGAATCCTGTCTTGCATCGGGCTCCCTGCATGGGGCCTGCTTCTCCCTCTGCCTATGTCTCTGCCTCTCTCTCCTTGTGTCTCTAATGAACAAATAAATAAAATATTTTTTAAAAAATAAATATTCTGGTCCTTTGTGGTTTCATATTAATTTTAGGATCACCTCGGCAATTTTTGAAATAATCAAGCTGG